GTCAGTTAGAAGGCCTGGGCAGCCTAAGGGACCTTGGAGAGTGGAACTAGGATGTACCCCTAGTTCAGGAAAGGACTTTGGGAACACATTCCGCATGGAGAGATACTCTCTTAACCCCAGGAGGGAGGGCCTAGTCCCTACTCCAAATGACTTGACAGATTTTGTTGGTCCCTCCTGGAAGGCATCACCCTCCCTGTGGAGTTGTGGGGGGGAATGGGATGGGAGGGTGTTTGGGGGGCATGGGAGGGAGGGAAAAAAGGAGGGAGGGAGGGAGAAGGGATAGGAGGGAGGGAGAAGAGAACTGGGATCGATATGTAAAATAAGAAAAATTAATTAATTAATTAAAATAAGGAAATATATATAATGAGTCCTCGATGCAAGAAATGCGCAAAGTGAGACCCTCAATGAGGATAAAAAGTTCCTCCTTATGTATAAAGTACACACAAGGGCATTTTATCCTCAAATAATATGACTTCTAGGAAAGAGTGTTTTTACATCAAAACAACTCAGTTCTGGTAAGGTCTCATACACATTCTATATGAAATTCACAGAAAATAATAGCACATGTGGCACAGAAACTGTGAAATAAGTTTTGAAAAACCAGACTGCCATCACCAGCAAGTCAGCAGCTGACTATGTTGACTAGCCTTGAAACCGTCCCATAGCCTTCTTGGTTTTTGAACTCCTGCTTCACCTATTACAGCTTCCTAAGTGCTCTTATTACTAGGGTATACCACACGATCCAGATGAAGGATAGCTTTTTGTAGGTTTTTAACCCCTCAATTAGTTTAAAAAAACAACATGCAAATAAAAATACACATAGTAATAAATAATGATGAGAAGTTTATGACAGCATCAGCTTTCATTTGATAGGCAGTGGGATGAAATCTCTGTACAAGTGATGTCCATGAACTTAAGTTGATGTAATCATATGAAAAGACCAGGCCTTGGGGTAGGCCAAATGATGCTCCTTCGTAGTGTCTCCAGACTCTTCCCTCATCAATACTGAAGGAAATACAAGCTTCTGTTGTTTTCACCAAACCCAGACTGAGCTAATACTCATGAAAAAGCAATGTGATTAATGGATTTCAGGTTTCATGCACATCTCAGATGTTGTGAGGAAAGAAGATATTAGTGTAAAGATACTGTAGAAAAGTTCAGTGATCTCAAATTCTTTTTGAGACTTACAATGCACTGTGTATTGGCCCTAAAATCAATAATACGTGTCCAGTTAAAAATTAGAGTAATCCAGTTATGGCATCCACTTACTTAGATTTTTAAATCCCTTGTAATATTACTAGAAAAGGACCATTTTTATAATAGCACAAAATATAAGAATATCCTAATATTACTTATATTAAAGAAAAAGAAAAAATAAATTATTTTTCTTTTATGAAAGGTAACTTCTTCTAGGCTTGTGGTAAATGGGCACACTAATCAAGAAATATGTTATGCATATTTTTAAGGAAAATCCCATGAAGCATTTTATGTACCATCACATATGAGCATGAATAAATGACACTAAAAATGAAGAGAAAGGCTCTTTCTATCTCCATCTCATTTGGCTATTTATTTTTCATAGAAATTATTTTTACCTTTACAGAGAAGGCCAGGGTCACCGATAAGACAGTCAACTGATGGAGTATGTCCTGGGCACATGTTTTCCAACTGATACAGGAAGCATTCCAGAGAACAAGCATTAAAGAAAATGAAAACTACACAGTTACATGTAATCATTGGGGTCTTCATTATTGTCAGGGAATTGGGAAATGGAAAAGGCTGATTAATGCAAATCCATGAAAAAGAATCCAACATTTTATAATAAATGGGCGAATAGATTGGCCTGGTCATTATCTTGAAAATTTTACCAAAGTTATTGAAATTTTGCATGATTAGCAAATTATTTATTAATAGTGATTTAATAATCATTCTTTTCTGACAGAATTCTTTGACAAATGATTTTTCTTTCTCCGGTAGGTAAACTCTGCAACAAAATTCTTTTATTCATCAGTTTTCGTAAAGTTTTTTTCCCCCCCTAAGGCTACAATTTGCTCAACTAACTTATTTTTCAGTTTATATTACTTTTACCTTGAAATTTACATATCATGCCAAACTTTATTGTGAGGCATATACAAAAATCTAATATTTACAGAAAAATAATTTTAAATATACGACACACAAGAGACATAATTTCTTGAGTAAGGGTTGTTGCTTGAATGCCAACTACTTTGTGAATGGACATCGTCTAACAAATAATTTTATGTTTGGCAGGCTTCTCCTTTCCTATTCATTGTCAGCGCTGTTAGGATTGGAATGTTGATGGTGTTAAGCTGTCCCTCCTCTTTAGAAGGTGTCGTCTGTGAACCAGTGTTCCAACAGAGGATAGATAAATAGCTGTGTGTGAGTTGCAGACATGATACAGAAACTTTTCATTTGGTATCCATGGAAACATTGAGGGGGCTTTAAAACCTTATGATGTGGGAAAATTACTGTCCATAAACAGTTCTCTATTTTTTTGTAGGAAAAAAAATAAATGCTGAGTTCTCAAGGCATCTATGCCATGAAAAGTTAAAAATTACTGTCTAATGTTTTTTAATTATTTTTTGTCAATAGGGGACATAAAACCATTCTACTCTGTCTTAAAAAGCATCTTTGCCATTTTTTAAATCCCTGAAATCACACATTCTGAATGGAATATTAAATTTATTAGCCTCTTTTCCAGTATGCTATCCAATACTATGAGACCTCCATTTCATGAACAAGCAGTATTACTTCAAGAGAATGGACAATGATGTCAGAGTAACAACATCACCTGAGCAAGCCTTAGAATATGATGAAAGTGGACCACAGAAACACAAAAGAAATAATCCTCTAGCTAGAATGGCATGGTTCCCATGGGCCACAAAACATTCATTTCCCTGTGATTTGTGAAGTCAAATTATCACCACTGAGGGAAATTTTTGTCACTATTATTAAAAGTGTTAAATGCCCTCTTGAAAAATATTAAGAAAAATCTGTTTTCAAATGACAGACACATTTTAGGTTGAACCAATCCATCTGACTAATGGCCATTCTTAGAAATTATGAATTATTTTTCTAAACCTAACAGTTAAATTATTTGAATACTCCCAAATCAGCGCTGGTATATGGTAAGCAAGAGACAATTGATATCCGGAAGGAGTTAGTGTTTAATCAGTTTTCATTAACATAAGGACTTGAAAGATTTGGTGACATACTGTGGACAAAATACTAAACCCGTCTGAATATTTTAGGTCTCGCAATTCAATCAAGAATTACACACTTTGTTATTTAAGTTTCTCTTCTAGTAACAAATTTAACTTCTAATTTATTATGACAGCCTAGATTTATTTGTCTCTATAGCTAGATGTCAACATCAGTTTCTAAAGCCTCTTGAAGAAAGGTATACAGATTTCCGTCAACCAAGCATCTCATGAAGGTATCTGCCCACTTGCTTTCTTTGGCCCTTTGTGTTATATTAGTCCCATCTTAATCCCCCTTGCATTCTTAATGTGCATTGTGCATGCTGCAGTTCCCATCAACTTTGCAACCATCTTCATTTTCTCTGAACTCTTCTATTTCACAGCTCATGTTTAGATTTTAACTCTGCACATCCTCTACCCTTTTTGTTTTCATGTTGTATTGTTAAGTGTCTCAAGAACTAGAAAATGTACTTACCTGTTCAACATTTTCACAGGGCATAGTGTGGTTATAACTATTCCTGCATCAATGCTGATAGATTCACAATCATTCACTGAGGTCCAGTCATAATGCCGGACATAGCAATATGTGTACTGGCAAAATTCTCAATGTTTAGACAACTTCTAGAAATAAGAAATGATTGGAGAACTGCATATATGAATACTTGTACTAAATGGTGACAGAAAGGAAGACTAAGTAAGGGCACTCTTAAGTTTCGAGAGAAAAAGAACTTCATCTTCCACTCGCATTTGGATAAAATAAAATGTAATTCCAGCTAACAGATTATCAATTGGTGGTCTAATATTCAATATTTAGTCAATGTTTGAGATAACCTATATCAATTAGAAAGCTATATCTCACAGAGGGCATGATGACAAATGTCAAATCCAGATAAATTTTTATAGTATAGGGACATTTTATATTTTAGATACTAAAAGTTATTATCCTGCATCTTTTGAAGAACAAAGAATATAGTTTGTGACATTGATCAGATAATCAGAGAAATGAAACAAAATAAAGTAATATATCCAACCTATATTATGTGTATTTGTATAAAATGGTTAAAACAGAGGACCATGTCCTGGAGGAGAGTCCTCATCATGTTCCTTTTCCCAAAGAGAACATAGATACATAAATCTGCAAGAAGATGTTCAGAATTAATCTCATTGAACAGATTGAAAAAGTCTGAATCAAATTTTAGAAAATCACATTATAGAAATGTTCATTGTTTTATTTTGAAAAATTCTCATGTTATTACAGACTTTCAAGTATGTGACAAAAATATACATTTTATATTTATTTTCCTGACAAGTGTTCAACCGTATGTAATATGCCCACCAGACAATGAAAAGGAAAATACTGCCTAATTTGTTAGTCATGATTCTTAAAAAAAAAAAAAAAAAAAAAATGTTCTAAGAGGTGGCAGGGCAGATAGTATGGCAGTAAGAGGAGAGTGTTATATTGCAGTCTCTTTAAAGACTATAGTTCCAATAATATTGCGTCACTGCTCTGAGGTATCACACGAGAGCCATTATTAAGTTGAACCACTTTGTAGGAAAATCAAATTTAAAGAAACCTGGACTCTGTAGATAAAGGGGAAACAACACTATGATCTTCAGCCACTCTATAACACCATGTTTCTTCTTCCCATGAATTCTCCCATTGTTTCTAATCATTTTCCCCACCATGGGGCAATGTAATTCCTTTTAGAGAATTAAGTGAAAATAATGCATGAAATGCAGATCATGATTGCGTAGCACCAGCATGGAGTTGCTTCCTGGTTGATGACTTGATCATGTTTGTGGCTTATAATTCATCACCATCCTCCGAGCTAAAGCTGCTTCTACTGCTCGCTTTAGAAACTGCAGGGGAAGTGGCAGAGAGGAGTGGGTCTGTCCCAAAGGGGCAGATTGTATCACTTAGTAGCATGCCGTCCAATCTTTGTTCCTCTTTCAAGGCAGCACTAAATGATAAATCTGTGAAGTGAGACAAAGGATCAGAGAAGGCCACAGCTTGCTCACAGAACTCCGGGCTTGTCCCCTGAGATGGAGTCAGTTGTTGGTAGCAGCCTATTGAGTTCTTCTCAGGATGGGCCTGCTGTTTGGTGATGTGGGGACTGAAATCAGCTATGCCAAGTGAAGCCAGCATTGGCAGACCATGAGCACGTGCTTGTATTTCCAGTTCCTGCAATTTCCGACAAGAGATTATAAATGATTAAATAATGCACTGAACAAGTTGACGTAATTGTTGAAATCAAACTGGAAATAAAATGCTACCTAATGAACAAAATGAAGAGGAGTGCAAACTATAAACACATTTAATAAATAAATAAATCTGGTGTAGTTGCAATGCCTAAAAATTACTTAAACTAAAATAAAATTTTAAAAAAGTTCTTGAGGTGTCTGTAAATTCCATGACATGCGAGGTAGCATAGTGGCTTGGGCTAAATAGTGTAATATGTAACTTGTGGAAAGTCTTCCAGTTCATCTCCTGCCATAACTCAAGAGCATTTCACTGAAATAGGAAAAGTATATGACTTGACTGTGTGCTTGCTTGTATTAAAAAGAGATACAGTTATAAAGCCCGTATTTCAATACTTTGTGACATATGAACAGATGAATGGTAACAATGTAAACTGGTAGAATTTGCCTTGAGGCAATGAAATCCATAACAATGTTACTAAAGAAATTAACGAGGAGGAAGAAATTTAGTGTGCAAATTCATCTAACAGCAACATATGCTTCACTCTGTTTGGTCTGTTTCTGTTTTTCAGTGCTGAATGTGTGTGATGATATCATGTGTGTTAAGTGAACATGAATTTCTTCACTTGGTAATTGGTTCTCATCCATTCTATGTCTATTTAAGTCATCTTGATCGTGGACCTCCAATCAAAATCAAATTGAAACAACCCAATTCAGAAGCTTCTAAAAGGCAGTACTGTTATTTTTTCCAAAGGCGGGAAAAAGCTGTTAATAAGAAAATGTATAAATGAGACCAGTGAATGAAAGCAGTGCCAGGATAGTCATATGTTCGCTGTGCAGTGTGGGGCAACCATCTCATAACAACCTGAATCCGGAGCACAAGCTGCCGGTTAGCCTGTTCCAATTTCTTCTGTCTGTGTTCTAACTCCCGGGCTCTCTGTTGTTCTTTTTGTAGCCACTTGATGTACTCTACTGATGCCTTCAGAATGGTTCCTTTGTTCCAGCGCATATCACTGTAGAAGAAGGAGATAACCTTTTCACAATTGTGCATGTCAGCAGAATTCATAAGAACTTACAAAATCTTTTACATTAATATGAAATAATGATTTACATGACTATTATTCACTCTTAGATATTATTGCTTCTGAATAGAAATTTTAATAGAATAGTTAAGAAGCCCTTATATAGTAAAATTAATCCCAGAATGAAAATAAGTGTCAAAAGAAAGTAATAAAGTGACTTTTTGTGGGTTAGCTAAATGCAATATCATGATTCTACCATTACAGTTTTTATATTTTTAGTGAAAATTGCTTTTATTATTAACTCTAAGATTAAAATCTATGTGCAGTATTTCTGCATTAATGAACTAGGAAATGTACATTACTGACGACTTAAGCCTAAATTTTTTAAGATCATTTCAGATGTACCAATCTTTGAACCTATTTCCTAATATGGTTGCTTTTGTTTCTAAGAAAGAAAAAAATGTATTCTCCCCTGAATGGTGATCCTGAGTGGTTGTGAAACACAACAGAGTTGGGAAACACTGCTTTATGCAATAGGGCAAGCTTCCTGAAACCATTTAATCAATTTGTTTCCACAAATAATATTTTTTTAAAGGCTAGATTCAGAACACTATTTTTAACATCTTTAAGTATCCTTAAATATCTAAATAGAATTTAGCATTTCTGAACTTTTAAAGTTTTGGCATAGAAAAATATTAAAATGCTTTTAATATAGGAGAAATAATAGCATAAAAGTGTAGAAGAGGCTAAAAGTAATCTTAGGATCTGAAAACTCCGTCCCGTCCATGCAATGCTGCATGAGAACTATTAACATGCATTAATAATAAGAACAAACTAATTATCGAATGTTAATTAAAGTGGTTAGAAGATGCTGGTGACTTATCCTGGAGCTCACTGACTCCATTAGACTGGCTGTCAAGCAAGCTCCATGACCTTCCTGTCTCCAACTCCCAGTAGAGAGATTGCAGGCAAGCACACTCAAGCTGGATCTTTAAGTGGGGGCAGGGGTCTGGATGCAGATCCTCATGCATGAGCAGCAAGTACTAACCACTGAGCCATGTCCCTCACTCTAAAAATTATTTATATACAGAATAAAGTAAGCATATAGCAAAAACCAAACACTTCCCTACAGCTGTTTTTGTTTTTACATTGTCTAAATATATATTTAAAATAGTTCTGGTTTGTATAATCTTTGTAAACTATAATAAAATTAATAAATTACTTATTATGGATCAGATATAGGAATATAAAGTCTGTGAAACATCAATTTGAATATGACTCATGGAAACAGCTTGGGTGGACTTATCATTAGCAGCAGCAAATGAAAGGGAGATACATTTTTATCCATCCGGCAGAAAGGTATAGAGAATTTTGAGTGGCCAGCCATCTACTGAAATGTACCAAACCACCTCCGTGTTTGATGCTAAACTAAGAGGTATCTGTAACTGAGAAATATTGTGGTCTCCTGAATTGGAACTCATAAATAGTAGTAGGAATCCTATGAAATCTTATTTTTGTTTCATTTCCTCCCATGGTGGGGAGGGCAAATGAAGGAGGAAAAATAAGAAGCAAAAGACATAGCCCACACCCAGCACTAAGTGGACCTAGATGGATATATAACATATACATATATAATATATACATGGATGCACATGCATATATACAACATGAAATTGGGAGGGGTTGTTGTTGGGAGATATGGAAGTGTTTATGAAAGAAATGAGGGAGGAGTATGTTCAACTTTCTTTGTATACATGCATAAAATTTCCAAAAATAAAAAAAATTAAAAGCAAAGGATAATATCAGCCATATCTGAACCCTAAACCACTGCTAATTTAAATCTAAAATATATCTACAAAATGGGGAGGGAGAATACAGTATCTTTTTATTGCACCTTATAGCATTCTGACTGTTTTTGAAGTTCACTATGTTTGAGAGTATTTGACTAGATAAGGCTTTGCTCTTCAAATGCTCAAAAACGTTTATATATATATATATATATATATATATACATATATATATATATATATATATATGGTAATACATATATATTCCCATATATGGAAATGTCCTCTCTTCCAAAATAATTTCAAATGCTTCAGGATTAAAAGTTTGAAAGAATATAATCTTATTATAAAAATGTGGCATGTCAAGTCATGGCTAAACCAAGAAGAGAGACATTGTCCTTTCATTTTCCATAAGGCAATTTTCCTTGAAGACCTTAACACTTCTGGGAGGACAGCTAAAAGTCTGAAGGTAGGGTCAAGACAATAAGACCTAAGGTGTAAATTGGTGTAGGATTTCCATCAGGTAAAACTGCAGAAAATGCACACCAGCTGTCACCTTGTGTGTGACATCCACTTCAAAGCCTTAGAATCTTTTAACCAAAAACTGCAGAAAAATACAAGGATACATCGGATTTGCATTTTTCTCAACAAGTTATATTTCTTAGCTCTAGTTTTTGTATATAATTTTCTCTTTTAACGCCATGATTTTGATCTGCAAAAAAATATGAATGGCAGTGCCATTGAATTCAGCATCTTCGAAGTAGCTCTGGCTTCATTCCCCAAAGTTTAGTCTAGAGAGCTAGAAAGGCCCTCAGCAGGGGATGCTCCACCATGCCTGTGCCCAGGGACAGGTGACATTTAGAAGGTGAGCTCCAAGTCTCCTTGCTCACTTTCCTGGTCTTCTATAGACATGAGGCTATATGGCTTTTTTTTTTTCTTTTTTTTTGAGACAGGATTCATTATGTGACTTGGAATAGCCTAGAAGTCACTACAGAGTCAAGATTGACCTCATACTCATAGTGATCCTCCTGCCTCTGCCTTCTAAGTACTGGAATTATGGATATGAGCTCCCACACCAGCTATTTTCTTGAACTAAAAATAAATTCTTCAGTCATCTTAACGGTTATCACCTATGCAACCGAAACTGATAATTTCTTGATATTTTTTGGTGTTTTCCCACTGAGTTTTTAGCTTAGCCATTGCCATACATAATAATGCTATTTCTTATTCATTTTACTGTCTTCAAATGGAATTCTGCCTCCTCTGTACTGTCCCTACAGTCTTTCCCTAGCATTTTGCCAAAGCTTTTAAATGAACTGTCTTAACATCTAAAACCAATCAGTCCAAAGTGTTTCATAGACTAGTTATTCCAGGGGTCTTTGGATCCAGAGTCTACTCTAGTAAAAATCCTTTTCAAGATGCTACATTCTAGATTCAACCATGATATCCTCACCACTGAATGCTAAAGGACATTGAAGTAACAGGTGAGGTCTCTGCAGTCCAGAGAAGGAAATGTACTAAAGCCGAATTTAGTGTTCAGATATTTGAATGACATGCTAACAGACATATGCAGAGAAATACAGACATATTCATCATTTGACTATTCAGTGTGTTTACAGTAAGATCTTAATGTTTGCATACAGATAGCATTATCAAACATGCGAGTCAAGAGGACTGACTGATTTCCATAATGAAGAAAAAGATGCTTAAGAATGCATAAAATGAAGGTTTTGCAACTATCTTCTCTTCCATCTGAGTCTGTGATAAATTGATTTACCATATTCTAGGCCAGAATGAGAAAATGATAGTCACAGACAGTTTTTGTCAATAGTTTTGTGGCTGTAATCATTCTCACTCATTTACATGTAGTCTTGTTCTGATTTGGGGACTATAGTGGCAGAGTTAAATAACTTCAATACAGTCTACATAAAACATAAGGGAGATAGTTATAGGAATAGCTTGCCAGGTGCTATGTAATGAGTTAAACAAGAAAGAATTCTATTATCAAAGTAGATATAAAATGTTAAAGATTATAATAGTTTAAACAATCTTTATACTCTATTCCCATATACCTTACTGATATTTTTACAAAAGCAATTTTTGTGTACATGCAGGGGATAGTTGGCTCAGTGGTTAAGGCACTTGTTGTTACTGCAGAGGACTCAGGGGTCACACTCAGCACCCACATGGTAGCTAACAAATGCCTGTAACTTATTAGAGGATCTGATGCCTTCTTCTGACCTCTGTGGTGTTAGGCATGTAGTCCGCATACATACTTGCAGGGAAAATATTCATACATATAAGACATATGTATTTATATTAATACACCTAAAGCAACAACATAAATAAACCTAAAAATAAGTAAGTTTATTTGTACATTCGCCTGTCTGTGTGAATGTATGCCATGTGTGTCCAGGTGCATGCAAATGCCAGAAGATGCTGGATGCGTGATGTTGAGTTACAGGCAGATATTAGCTGACCAACATAGGTGCTGGAAACAAAATTCAGTTGCTCTGGAAGAGCAGCAAGCATTCTTAACCATTGGCACATCTCTCCAGACTCAGTTGTTGTCTTTGAGTGACTTTATCAGGTTTGAATGTTTATCACTAGAGCCCAAACTTGGCCTGAGGTCTTCAGATCTCTCTGCTGGGTGGATCCATCTGCCATGTTCACCTCAAAGCCCTACTCTTTTCTAACATGAGTTACTTAATTGCCCAGGTTAGTTATAACATTTAGATTTAAGGAAAGACTATTTTCAGTTCTCACATGTATCACTTCATAAAACACCTCATTTCCTGATTAGGGAAATGCTGATATTTAGAGAGATCATTTTTTAAATCATCATCAAAGCTGCAGATAATGACTTTGCTTTCTGTACAAAAGCTCTAATTTCAAAATTAAAATTTTGATTAGTTACTTCTTGATATTTACAGTCTCAAACACCACATTTGACTTTGTATTTGCCACTAAATCTGGCTGGCATCAATCAGCAGTATTTTACAATCCCATTTTAACATGTGTATACCTAGAACTGGAACATATTTGATACTGTGACAATTTAATTTCAATGTTCATGTAAATCTTAAGTTGGAAGAAATGCTATTATTGTAAGTTGAATAACCCAGTCATTATCATAAACAACTTTTGACATTATCATTAAATTGCCAGTATTGTTAGTATGCTGATAACCACTATGATCTGAGGGCAACCCATATACTTATTTTTACTATCAGAAGGATGAGTCTAGGAAATGACTTGCTGCTTAATATCTATCACTCTGAAATAGATATTTCAAAGGGAGACCAGAAGTAGACGTGTCTTTGCTATAAGATGCTTCATTTCCTGGTCATTGGAACTGTCCTCCCTTTCCCCACCCACCCATTTGTAGGACACTGAAACTACAACATTATTGCACAAATGATTTTGAACTCACGGATCATTAGACTTTGGAATAAGAGTGCCAAGCTCCTTGATTCGGTAATTAATATTATACCTTCTTCTTCTTTCAACTATTAAGAAAGAAATATTATTGATTATTCTCATTAAAACACAGTTCACTGTTGGTCAGCTGTAAATGTAATAAACTTTTAAAAACAGTAAAAAAAAAAAAAGATATTTCCTGTTAGTCAAAGGACAGTTTTTAATAATAAGATAAAAATTCAAATAAGTCTTATATTAGCAGGAAAAACTGAAATAATAGTATTGTGAATATGTTCTTCATAACATGATAAAACATTTTGCCACAAAATACTTTTATTCTTTGGATTCACTCAGTGCTGTATACATAGACACACATATATTCATATGCTTACTCTATTTAGTTGATGTATCACCCATACACATTCTGGCAGTCTATCAATGAAATTTTTCAAGGCCATTCGCCACGCCGTACCCTTCCCATATATTCTCCTCAATGTTTAGCACATTGCAAGTACATGTGATCAGTTAACTAAAACTGTAACCCTTGGACTTGAGAGTTGGTTCAGTAGTTAAGAAGAGCACTTGCTGTTCTTGAAAAGGGCCCAGGTTTGATTCCCAGTACTTACTGGAAGCCCACACCACTTTGGGCATCAGGCATACATGTGGTGCAAAGCACTCGTGCATATAAAATAATAATAAAAATTAATCTAAATAAGTAAAAATTGAAAGTTAAAAAAAAGCAAGTTGGTAGAAGCACAAGCATTTAACCCCAGCACTCAGGAGAACAGGCAGAAGCAGCCATATCTCTATGAGTTCAAGGCCTGGACTATAGAGTTCCAGGACAGCCAAGGCTATGCAAAGAAACACTTAATCAGAAGACTACCCCCCCCAAAAAAGAAAGAAACAAACCCAAAACTATATCTCTTAAGTAAATGAATGTATGCATGTGAATTAGACAACAAGTTTGTTTTTCTTTAATTAACTTTTAGTGTGTGTATGTTTGTGTGTGTGTGTGTGTGTGTGTGTGTGTGTGTGTGTGTGTGTGTGTGTAGATATACATACAATAGCATGTGCAGAGATCAGAGGACATCTTGTGAGGACAGATACTCTCTTTGCATTTTGTGGCTCCTAGGGATCAAACTCAGCTTGTCAGGCTTGGCAGCAGCCCCTATACCCACTGAACCATCTCTCTGTTCCTACTTTCCTACATTTAAGGTTTTTTTTTTTTTTATAGCTAAGTGGTTTTCAAATTTTTGCTGGAAGTAAACATATCTGAAAGGATTGTTGAACCAATTTTTACCTTATCTAGGAATTCTGATTTTTGTAGGATAGGAATATGCACTTTTGAAATTTCATTAGGTGAGGTTGTTATTATTATATGTGTAATGCTAGCCATTCAAGAAATATGGATATAATCTCTTTAAATCTTCTCCCTTTTTATTTTTCTATACATTTATTACGTATAGCAATTTTGTGTATATAGAAACTATTCACTGTCAGTGATATAATAGTTTCCAATATTGACCCTGTATAATATTTTGCAGTGGGTCGCATGTTTAAAGTAAGTATTCCAGGAAATTTGCACCAAAAAAAAAAAAAAAGCCATGAAAAAAGAAAAGGATAGTTCAAAAACATTGTAATACCCAAATAATGTCTCCTCAAGAATTAAGATCTGCTACATGAAATAAGGGAAGTCATTATCAAAAATCATTTGTCTTCAAACCATTAATAAGCATGGTCTTTGGGAACAGCACAGTCAAGTTAGAATACAATCAATCGTTGAGCTTGTTCACCCTCTTCACTAACCCTCCTGGTTCTTTGTATATGACTTACAAAGCAGCTAAATGTTTCTACATAAACAAGTAACAGTAAAACTGATAGAAAAGCATACATGCTTTAGAGTGAGAATTTGATACCAATTCTGTGTTCACATATATTATTGCTATATCACCAATGAAACATACAGCAGCAATAAAGAAAATTTGAGATTTTACCCCCAAATAGGTTTCTTTTATGTTTGTTCATAATATTTTACTTAATGCCACATTGTGTATACTATCAAAAACTTCTTTACTCTCCTTAGATTCTACTTATAGCACTTTAACTAGGTAATTACAACTTCATTTGTTCTTGAATATACAAGTTATTAAAAAAATAACAATCCCTTTAAGAAATTGCAAAATGTCACTATTTGTTATGATTTTGGCATATTCAGACAATATAATCCCTAAATGCACTGGCATTCCACTGGCATTCAGTAGACCACTTTTTTCTTTTCTGTCCACACAGACACCAAAGGCAGATGAAGGCCATCAGAATCCTGCTGAATGACACTCTAGCTAACTTGCACAAGAAATTTCCTCTTTTGCTCCAGGGCTCATTTCCAGGTCCAGGACAGCCTATGACATGAGCTCTCCTCTCCTGAGGGAAGGAGCTCATACAGATAAGTGGGTGTAGCCAAAGGGTTGCTAATGTTTGAAATATTCACTCATGTTCAAAGCTACTGGCAGCATAAAATAGAATGATATGAGAAGTGTGTTGCAAGATAAAAGCTGGCATCAGTCTTCCCAGACCAAACTCCGAGGTCCTGAGAATTCTCAAACAATCCTGGCCTTCCAGCCTTTAAAAGGAATTTAGAATTTTCAAGTTTGATTTTTAAATTTTACATATTTAAGCATCAGGTAAAGGAAATCGCCTTTGTGGTTTTGCAATGTCTTCACACATTCTGTAGTTTTAACTGCTTTATATTCGTCATATATAAAATACAGGGTACTAAATTTTAAACATTGATTTACCTCAAAATAAAATGATTTAGCATGAGAATCCAATTACAAAACATTCTGATAAGACATAGAGTAGATACCAACCATGTTATGCACTAAAGACCTGTTGAAAAGCTGACTATATAGAGGACAGAAGAAGAGACAGAACAGTAACTCCTTGGGATCCATGGTTCCCCCAGCATATTAATTCCTTGTACCAACTATCAGCTCTGTCCATTCATGCTTCCTCTTACCTTATATTCTAAATTGAAGTTGTCTGCAATGCCCTTGAGGGCTAAGGGAACCCAAAGGTTGTGGCCCAAAAGAGTTGGTCAGTTAACTCTTGCCAGTCTAATGTGGCAGGTACAATAAGGACTGATAGGGGTTTCATGGGTGAATGAAGAAGGCATCTCAGTCCATTACACATAAGAAAATTAATGGTTTGACTTAAGGCTTTACTCTTTCATTTCCATCGCTACTCTATCTATTGAGACTTGTCTCTAAGAACAAAGCTGTTTCACACTCACTTAGTAGAAGTCACGTGAGATACTGAAGCTAAGACAAGACTGAACACTCTGAATCCAGGCCTTGCTGCTAGTCTACCTCTCTCACCAGCATTAGCATTTCTCCATCTCTTGTGACCGTAACAAGTCAGAGTCACATTGACCTAAAGGAGGAATGAGGGATTCAGCATTACAACATAAGCTATGCCTTTTAGTTGCCATATCATTGAAAGGGGAGGAGCAAATTAATCCTGAACAATGAGAAGGTACACTTGTTTCTGAGAACATGAAGTACATTTTATAGCCAGTTTGCTTCTTTAAATCTATGAGTTGGTGAATCACAACACTGCTCAAATGTAACCAAATGCACTTATCTCAGTCAAGCACACCCTGCCCAAGAATGGTCAAAGGCAATTCAGCTTGCCTCATTTCAAGAGATCTCAAGGTTTGCATTTTCAAGACTGGTTCAAGTCGCTAAGCATGTACAATTAGTTTCAATCATCCAACTTCAAGTAATAATGCTATAACAGCAAAAGACTCCCTACTTTATTCTCCATGCATTTGCTCTTGTATTACTTTTGTTGAAAGAAAAAAGAAAATATACTCACTGAGGTTGTGGTTGTCCTTTTTCTGTCTCTCTTTCGCCAAAGCTCTTGTGTCAGTTTCTGAACAAAAGAAAAATAATTGAAAAGGAGTTGAGTTCTACTTTGAAGCATTTCCATGCAGCATTCAGAAACACCAAGTAGAAACAGAATATTGCTTGTTCTAGAATGGTGTAATAAAATTTTTAATGGTAATATGAAGAAATATAGGGAAGGGAATATTTTTAACAAACAATGACAAAGTCTTTATGACATGGAGCAGCAAAAGCCTGATCTGGTTTTAGCTTTCCATATTTCAGTCATGCAGTCAGTTACCTAATTTCTTGCCTAAGACTCCTCCCCCGTGAAATAAATATAATACAATAGCTACCTGAAAAACAATGGAATGGTTCTACAAGCATGTTGCATGGAAAACACTAAGCTCTTCACTAACTTCCACTATTATTCCCATAATTTTGAGATTCAAGAATTAACCTAGTCCCTTCAAAATTCTCTACAGATTGACAGGACATCAGTTTTTAAAAAGAGTCCACAGTAATTCTGACTCCCTGATCTTCATAACACAGGTAGTTCCTTCATCAATTGGGATTTTGATAACAACAGAATGTTAAGAAAATGTCCAAGGTTAGTCTCAAAGCTGCCTCTATTGTGTCATCTATAGAACTTTCTGGAGAGGTGCACACAATTATAAAATAATTATATATTATATAGTTATATATATTATATAGTTATAAAATAACACTATCAACTTACAGTATTTTTACAACCTATGCATTTACCAGCTTTGAATGTATTGTCTATTCACAGTCACATGTCAAAGTCTGTATTCTGAATGATTTCTAGAATACAGCCCCATAAGAGACTCCAAGTCACAACAACTGGCTAAACTTCTCCTGGATCTGGATCCCTACATGGGGTCAAAATATTAATGGTCAAGAGAAGTGTATGAGCAGCTACTAAGATACCAAGTCCATTCAATTAAAAGGTAAATGATAATGGCCTATTGTGTCATGATATTAAGATGTGGTAGACTTACTCTCAACACTTCTTTCATTTATTGTGATCATACTTAAAAAAATATTTAGCATGACACTATGTCATTCACATATTATGCAATTGATAAAAATTTTCAAAGGTTAAACTTTTTAAAAATCAACATTACCTGCAACTTCCTTTTTCATGGGCAGAATGCTTGGACAGGAAGTAGTCATCAGATTTGCATTAACTGGAGAAATCTCTTGCTCACCACTGTATACATCCAAAATACTACTAGATAACTTTTAAAAAATGAGAGAAAAGATCAAATAATTAACAATATATTTAATATTGTGCAGTAAATCCCTTGATTTAAATTTGTCACTTTGTAATGATCATGACAATAGATACCATGTTAGTTTTAAACAGAAATATACATTGACTACTTTTAAAAGCATTGTGGAATGCATGTGAATAAGATATGCTGAAAATAATATTTGGATTGCAATAAGAAGAGAGATAAATTAATGCATGGAGGAAAATGCTGATGAATATTCACAAACCTATAGGGGTTTGAGCTAGATTATGACATGGTTGTAAATTAGTGCTATTAAAATATCTTTTTGAAAAATCAATACACGTCTTAGCAAATCTGGAAGTTCCTTGCAGACCACAAGTCAAACACAATGGCAAAAGCGTTGGGAGCTTCAGAGTGCTGACAGCACTCTCAGCATCTGGCTATCAAAAGGGATTTTTATATTGTTAATGAAGTAGGAAGCTATGCTTTCTGGAAGATATACTTATCCCCACTGTACACTAATGTTTTCAATTGATATATATATATATATATATATATATATATATATATATATGTACCCCAGCTCGTAAGCAAAAGCACCCTAAGACTTGTTTGCCTCTAGTGAAGATAGGCTCTATTAAATTATAAATTTTGCAACTCTTGACATTCTTCTTGGGAACAATTTCTCAGAAACCTAAGGTGCTTTATATACAATTTAAAATTGTACTGATTCATTAATCAATACGTGCTTATTAATCACACAAAATATTTTATTTAAATAATATTCATATTTTAAATAAATACCCATTATTTCAGAAAAAGTTACATTTACAACATAGGATTAAAAATTATAAACTATTTCTATTTTACATATTTTTATTCTATTTCTAGCTATTTAACCAAAAGTTCAGTAAGAAGCAACTTTTTCTTTTCTTAAGGTCTAGCTCTCTCTCTCTCTCTCTCTCTCTCTATATATATATATATATATATGTATATATATATATATATGTGTGTGTAGTAATTTAACACAGTTATGTCAAAATTATTGCAGAGAAATTAACTTTATATTTCTCCTTATTGTGAAATTCCAGTTCAATCTGAGCAAGTATTTCAAGATTTAGAAAATCAGTTTGGCAATCAATATGAAGAAAGTATTCATTAAGGCTGAAATAAATTTTCAGGAGAACAAGTTATTACAGTATACTAAATACTAAATAAATATGTGTTTCTAAGGAAAATCAACTGTGATTAAATTATCTAATACATATATTTTTTAATGTTCATATGGAGAAGTACATTCTAGCCTGCCTTTGTTACTATAGTATATGTTTTGTATACTGGTATCTTCATCATTAAGTTTTTTCAAAAGCCTCATATTTAACTTATCCAGTTTATATTTTACTTATGTTCACTTACATTGATTTTTTTTTCCAGTGCTCAGGGTCAACCCGGGGCCTTAAATATGCTATGCACATGCTCTATTGTGAACTACACCCTCGACACTACAAACTCATTATTTAAAGTGTGTTTTTACTTGATGGATTTTAGATGTGGGATATTGAAGTACTTACTCCTTTTCAGTTTACTTATTTTAAAAACAAACAAAGGTTGACTGAATTGGAAAGATGATGTCTGCGAATCTCCAGCAAATACGATTAGGTGGTGTTCCGCAACACAGACCGTTCCCTAAGACGTGCGTCATTTAAACAATGCTTTAAACATACACATTTTCCATGGTCGTGTTTGAATAGCTTGTTGGTTATGAGCCGAGGTATCCCCACCTGAGTTGTACATTTCCACTGTGCCTTTGAGAAATATAATGGACAAGCGGAACAAAAAGACAGGGAGTAGAGGGGAAGGAACTAGGCAAAGGGCGCTTTTCTTCTGAAGAGCTTCAATTCAGATGAATTTCAATGAATACTGGCAAATTGCGGAAATGTTAAAAGAAGAAAACAGGCTCTAGTCCATGGACTGTCAGACTGTCCTCCTACAGAATTCCTTAGAAACGGGACAGGATTCTGACAATGAATCTAATACTGCCTAACTCTAGCGAGGAGACATTATCCCCTGACCTCGGTTAAATTTAATTCATGCCTTAAAGCATGGTGATTAATACCCTATTTAATTTTATGCTGTAGGTACTGTTCTATTTCATGTAAATGGTTAATCACTTTTTGACTATCATTAGACTGTTGAGTTTCCAAGCATGTAATACAATTCAGGTCATCTAAGAAGGCTTCTCCCCCATTAAAAGTTGTAAGAGGGCAGGGTTAGTTAGCATTGAATGCATACATAACCATCAGGAAGCTCTTACAAATCACATATGCATCTATACTATGTCAGAGGTGTGCCTTAATTCAGCAACAACACCTGTCTTTGTAGATCAATAAGCAAATAGATAGGCATTTGGTGAAGATGTTTTTCTTCTTGTTAAGAAAAGGCAAACTGATTTCTCAGTAAGGCAATATATTTGATATGACAGTGATGAACATATTGTTACCAAACCAAATAAAAATAATTTATCTTAGAATCCATTTAAAAGGATCAAGTATACAGCTGCGTAATAAGATGCAACTCTCTAGTAGAGAACGAATAACATTTCTAAGAAGCTGCTCAATGATGAACTGTGGTTTACAGTGATCTGATGGTATCTAGATTTTATTCACATCTTCACTCCTGAGGTCTGAGGAATAGAAATAACCTGGATCCAGCCTTAGCAAGTGATAGATCCTTTCAAAGCAGCCAGTATTTCCTGGGAGGGGGGCAGTATTTACAGGTCAAAATAGCAAAATATAGGAATGTGATTATTTTGGCAAAAAAAAAAAAAAACCAAAAAAACAATGCAGCATTAGAAATGATACAAAGGGAAAAAGGAAAGAAAAGAAAAGAAGATCTAGTTTGTTAAATTAGCCTAAAATAAATAAGGGGAAGTTTTTAAAATAATAATCTACAATAAAATAATAAGTAAACATAACAGTAAACATGCAGGAGGGAATTTTATGTCTGGTACTGTAATCCTGTGGCAGAGGTAGTCTTAGACCTTTAGGAACCACCTGCTATTGCTATTTTGCTGTCAAATTGTTATGCTGTCAAATTACCTTCCAAATACTTAAAATGTTCATATGGATAGACCTGGGCTGAGATCCTCCAGGTCAAAGAAGCTTCCTTTATCAATAGACAGCAGCCACTGAGTGGGGCGGATGATTGTTCAGTGTGTTGAGAAGAGAAAAGAAGAGAAGAGAAGAGAAGAGAAGAGAAGAGAAGAGAAGAGAAGAGAAGAGACACTCATCCCTAAACAGGACATCTGTCTTAAGCCAAATCCAAGGTTCCAGAAACATTGCACATTCCAGCAGAGGAGAGAGGAAGAATGTAAGATCCAGGCAATGGGGAATAATGCTGTGAAAGGCAGTTTTCTGACTACACCATAGCCATCCCATTCATGAATTCACAACAGCTATGTAACCTGTGCAAGATGAAGTCAGCCCAAGTCCCAGCACATTTATGGCAGATGACCACCAGGTTTCACTACTACAGAGAAGCAATTGGCAGTGGGCAGCTGCTGAGGTAGAGACATTCTTTTGATATTGATAAGGATATGGCCACTGGTAGGGTTCCCCATACCCCAGGAGATGGCCCATATTCAAGCACAGATGGACAGTACTAACCAGAGTTATCAAAAAAAAAAAAAAAAAAAAAAAAAAAAAAAGATGTTCAGTTGAAAAGAAAATGTGTTGGGGATTGAGGGAAAGAAGCAAGATGGGGACATAAGTGTAATTGTGATCATATTACATTATATGCTAGTATGAAAATCTCGAAAATAAAGGAAAATTTTAAATTAATAAAACATTAGGACTATAAAATGTCCTAATGACAAGAGAAAATCTGTAGGATTTTCTTCAATAACACAATAAAGAATTAAGTGTAAAGTGAAAAATAATGAATTTTTTAAGCATGAAGGAAAATAATTATACATGTCTTTTAGTCCAGCCTTGATGCCATGCACATATGAGCCCATAATAATAATATTTCTAAGTGTACAATATTAAGTTTACTCCACCTTCGAAAAAGAAAAATCAAAGTTGGGTTGTTAGGGAAGTGAGGAGGATCTGGGAGGAGTTGGGAGAAGGAAAATACACTATCTAATTTTTAAAGAATTAATTATAAAAAGCCTTACTTCCACAAAGAGTAACACTGAAAACAATGGGTGAAGTACTAAGAATGAGGACCTATTAAGGCTATGCTTCAAAAATATGAGATAAAATTGATCAAATACCTTAGAAAAGTGATTGTGGATGTAAGAAAAAGGCAACAGGGGAGATTGAGATCAAAGACAAGAGAAAAGTATTCCGTTTTCATAATTTCAGCCAGTGTGAATTGGGGTAACAAGGAAGTGATAAGAAATTATTATGGAAAAGTATTTTTGGAAATTATTTCTGTGTATGGCTGTTTTGCCTAATGTATATCTGGCACCATCTGAGAGCCTAGTGGCCCCAGATGTCAGTAGAGGGATCCATATCTCCTGGGACTGGGATTACATACAGTTGTGAATGCCACATAGATGATGGAAATTGAACTTGGAACCTCTAGATGAGCAGCCAGAACTGTTAATTGCAGAGCAACCTCTCCAGCACCAGGAAATATGCATTTAAAAAAATGTTCTTTTTTTTTTTTTTTTTTTATAAAAGTTGTCATGGTCATGGTGTCTCTTCACAACAATAGTAAACCCTAAGACAATAACTAATAAAAGAGCATAGTGACTACATCTATGAAGTGAATTTTTAAAGAAAAGACTAATTATAAGCATGCATGTACCTAATGAAAACTACACCAAATATGTGACGAATATCAAAATCTACAGAAGTTTATAACCTAACATCAGAGTAGAAGATTCCTATATATTCCTTTTCATTTCTGAAAAGACAATCAGTCAAAATAATGAGGATGTAAGATAGAGTTGAATGAAAGTAATAATGTGACCTCATAGATATGTTTATTGAACTTGCA